TCACAGGAGTTCGCTTCTCGCCGTCGAATTCGAATCGGACCTTGCGATGTGACCGCGTGCTCTGCCGACTAGAGAAGAGAACATTCCCCAACAACCCGATTTGCAAGCGATTTGCAAGGCCTTTTAATATCAAAAAAGGCCTTTTAAACTTGATGTGACACTCGTGCTCCGTCACGGCGATCGTTTTGTCACACAACAGAGAATATCAAAAAGCACTCCGGCGTTCAAGCGATTTGCAAGGCCTTTTAATAACTCGTTGCAAATGCACCGACAACCCGATGGGCATAAAGAATTGCGCGCGCGGGGCATAGGTTGGTGAACACATGCATGCACATGTGTTGTGCGCAACCACCATGCAAAAATCTTGAATTTATAATAAAGAACTGCGTGTTGGGCCTAACTACCAAGGATTCACAATTGGTGTGTGGAAAGTGGTCGATGAGGCAGTACAAACATTTCTTGCGGCACAAGTTTTAAGCATAACCAAAGCCTACCTTTTTTTTTAAACTTACTTGAAACTTTATTTAACCGTCCCACGCAGGGATTTCGTCCGAGATAACACTCAAGATACAGTCAGGAGGAGATTGTCACCAAACCATACATAAATTATTGGCGACACTCTCCCTAGCTAACAGATGTGCCGCTTTATTTGCAGATCGTCGAGCCCAAGTAACCCTCCATTGTCCCCGCGTGCCCAGCATCTGCTTCACTTCTTCAATGACTGGCCCCATCAATGACAGGTCCTTTTCCTTACTCTGAAGCTTGCAGACGACCTCACGGCAATCCATCTCTACATGCAGGTTGTGTATATTCTGCTCAATGGCCAATTGCACAGCCCTCCTACATGCACTAAGTTCCGCTATTGCTGGCTCCTGGCATCGTGGAAAGATTTGACATGCACCGCCCAGGAAGGCACCTTCCTGGTTTCGTAACACAATGCCCGCACCACCCACCTCTCCTATTCTAGAAATAGCAGCATCGACATTAGCTTTCACCCATCCCTCCTCAGGCGGATTCCATTTCTCGCATGGTGCTGGGTTAGATTGTTTGCTCTTGCGGCCATGAACAGCTTGCCACTCGCCCATCAGGTGGAACACTCTCCTGGCAATCGCCTCTGCTTCTTCTATTCTCTGCCCGTCTCTTGCGTTGTTCCGTGCCAACCAGAGCGCATACACCCCCTGAGCCATGACTGCCCTCTCATCGTCCGTCGCCACGGCAAGCCAAGACAGGAGCCACCTTGATAATGCACTCTGAGGACTAACTGACTCCGGTGGGATCGCCACCGGTACCCCCAATTCCGAATGCATAATCTTCCAGAATTTCAGTGAGTGAGAACACCCCCAGAACCTGTGAAAGATGGATTCTTCTCTGCCGCATGCCACGCAGAACACACCATCCTTGATCTTCCTGCGACGGAGTTCCATCCCCACCGCCAAGCCATTACATATCAGCCGCCACATATGAATCTTAACCTTCCCTGGCGCGACAGTGTCCCATAGATTCATCCATGACTTGTGCTCCTACACCGCTAGAGATGAAAATGGAGTGGAAACTTTCCGTTTTTCCGGAGGAAAAATGGAAACGGAGAGAAAATATGAAAACGGAAACGGAAATTTGCAAAACGGAAGTGGAAATGGAATTTTTTATGCGGAAACGGAAACAAAAACAGAATGGTGTTTTCCGGTGGAACATGCATGGAAATGGAACTTTCCGTTTATGTGAATATGGAATTTCTGTTTTTACTATCGACCTATTGTTGCTTTGTAGCCCAACTACCAAAGAGAACACAATGACACAATTAGTAGAATGGATCTAAGGCCCAACTCCTACTACCACACATGTACTCAGCTTGACCCTATACGCAATTGTCCGGTACTACTACAATACTATGCTAAGTTGCTAACATAATGATATTATTTTGTAGCCATGTTAACAACTCATTAAATTTGTTTGTTTTCGTGTGTATTTCTCTATGATTCAAGGGGGTTTTAAGTTCCGATCAATGCCTATTTCTATTTCCGTATCCACTTTGTATTTGCTCCGTGTCCGTTTCCGGTAGTATCTGTTTCCGTATTCATTTCCGGGGTTTCTGTATTCGTTTCCGCTTCTGCAAAGAAATGTGAAAACAAATATGATAGCACTCAGTTCTGTCCGTTTCCGCTCCGTTTTCATCCCTATGCACCGCCGATGATGTTTTCGGCCGGCCAGCTTTGAGTCGCTTCTGTTGCATACGCAGATGGTAGGCCGACCGTACAGTAAAGACACCATTTTTGCTGTAGTTCCAGGCCAGATAATCATCCACATTTTGCCCCCCGATAGGAATCCGGAGTATCTCTTCAGCATCGTCCGGGGAGAACATTTCAAGTACCTTTTCTACGTCCCAAACAGAGTCATTCGCTGCTAGCAGGTCGCACACCCGATTTATCCCTTGGCTATAAGTTTGGCCCAGTGGCCTTAAACTTCCACTCCTTGGTATCCAATTGTCATGGTGCACTTTGATTGACGTTCCATCCCCAACTCTCCAGATGAGTCCCTCCAAGAGCAGGTCCCTCCCATGAAGTATGCTTCTGAAGGTGAAAGCCTACCTTTTTTGACAATTAAAACCATTTCGGTACCCCCTCTGTAAAATACTCATGTTTGTCCTAAGTCAAACTTTTTAAAGTTTGACCAATTTCGTATAAAATAAACCAACATCTACAACACCAAATTAGCTCCATTTACATTCATGATGTTGTAGATATGGGCGGCTTTCTTTCTAAAATGGTCAAGCTTAGAGACGTATTACTTCGAACAAACATAGAACCTCGCGTATTTTGGAACAGATTAGAAAATGTCTCATATATTCATGTAGGATTAGAAAATCACATTATTATTTTTCTAATAATGATTGACCTCATATGACAAATAAAAGGAATTCAGTGATTAACAATTCAGAAAATTAAGTGGTATATATTTGGAATGAAAATGGGGGAACCGAAAAGCCCCGCCCATACATGCGGGGGAGTTCCGTAGAACCCTTTTTGTGTGGCATTTTTTTGTCTAGACCGTGTCCTGTCCGGGTGGACAAATGGGGAAGGTGTAGGGGATTTCCTTACATCAGTGCCTTGGTGAAAACACTAGATGTGCAGATGTAGCATGTTAAAGAATTATATTGGTGGAAGTTGAGGGCCTCTTTGGATTGAAGGATTTTCATAGGAATATTGGAGGATTCCAATCCATTGGATTTTTTCCTAAAAAAGCCCTTTGGATCAAAGGAACCACACCTCCAAAATTCCTATGGATGCATTCCTACACCTCAATCCTATAGGAATTTCAACATCCACTATAACCTCTTTTTTACACTGATTCGCGTAGGATCGAGGCACTTTTCCTGTGTTTTTCCTGTGTTCCATCCAAATGACCATTCTTGTAGTTTTCCTCTATTTTGTAATCCTCTGTTTTGCACCTACAATCCCGTCAAATTCCTGTGTTTTTTGAATTCCTTTGTTTTCTAATCCTGTGATCCAAAGAAGCCCTAAAGGATTGTGTAAACCTGGCAATTCTCTAGGCCTGGCTTTGTAAAGCCCGACCATAAAATCTCAAGCCAGATACACATATGTCACAAGGTCCGGATGTCGGGCTTGTAGATTTCAGGCCAGGCTTCAGGCGAAAAAGTTGAGCCTGAGCCTGGCCCGGATGTCGGGCTTTCGGCCGGATTGTCCATGCCTAGGTCTAGGATTGTGTGTTGAAATATATTGTCCGCCTCCCTCCATCAGTTCGGACTTTTGGATGAGTTGGCTGGTGCATGAATTCAATATGATATCCGAGCCAAGAGGTCTTGAGTTCAAGACCATCGATCCCACGTCTATGAGTTGGCTGGTGCATGAATTCAATATTGTGCAATACCCCACTACAAGGTTACCAAAGAAATCTTTTTTTTACTCGGCAAAAAATACGCTCAATTGCTAGGACACACCGACAACAATGCATATGTGATTCATCAAAATTCATTTTCTCGGCCAAATCATGAATTTAAATTGCCAGATACACATATGTCACAAGGTCCAAAAGGAAACCCAAGTTGCGTTCTCTCTCAGCGCATACTTGGTTGAAACCCGTTAGCGCTTTAAACGTGATTTTACACCGCGAAATTCACATGTCATAAGATAGGGGCGTAAGCAGGCACCAAACTGCCCGGGCCATGGCTTGGGGCGTAGCGAGCGAACGCTTCATTGCATGTTGTAACTTTAAGGGTGGCCTAGGGCATAGGCAGATCCTGACTAGGGCATTGATGACGACGGCTTAACTCGACGAGAGAATATTTGCAAACACATGGGTTAGCTAGGAGCCCTTTAAAACAAGTTTTGCGGGTATATTATTCTCAAGTTTTTTAAAAATTACCAAAATAATGATAATCAAATGCATATGTATGGAGCGAAAACTATGCCAATGGTATTATTCGAAAAATACACATGGGTAAGCTGGGTTGTTTTTCAAAAGTTATGGCGGTGCCAATGGTATTATTCGAAATTGAAAGAGCTGGGCCTAACCACCCCGATTACTTATGTTTTTGAGGAAAACCACACCGGTTAGTTGCCGAAAGCAAGCAGTAATGAGAGCACGCCCGCCCGCACCCGCAAGAAACGCCAGGCTGTCGCCCGTAACAAACCTCGCGCGCGCCGTCCCATTCCCCGACCTCGACGCCCACGGCGCGCGCACGCCCTCCAGCCTCTTCCGTTCCGTCCCGTCCCCCGCTGAAACCGGGCGCCGACGGCCGACCCCCTCCGCGGGCGCCACGTGCCCCGGCGCCGTCAGCCCGCGGGCACATTCCGTCGCGCATTCCGTCCATGCCGTGACGGAGACCGCGGCGCGACCCCTATAAGAAAATGGAGCCGCATCGCCTCACACGCATCCCACCACACCGCCACCTCTCCCTTCCAGTCATCTGACATCTGCTCCCGTCCTCTCCTCCTCTCCCCCCCGAAGCAGCGTGCGCGTCGCTCCTCTCCGCCCGGATCGCGATGGCCGCCGCCGCCGTCGCCGCCGACTCCAAGATCGACAACCTCCGCGACGCCGTCGCCAAGCTCGGCGAGATCAGGTGCCCCGCCCGACCCCTCCCCTCCGCCGGATCTAGCGGCCAGTAGGCGCCCACTCCGCTCCCGCTCAACTGTTTTTTCTGCTCTGTTTTGTCGGTGACGACGCAGCGAGAACGAGAAGTCCGGGTTCATCAGCCTCGTCTCGCGCTACCTCAGGTAATAATGCGAATCTGCCCCGCCTCCATGGTTACGCTTGTCTCCGACGATCTGCTACTTGCTGACGGGTGGTTTCTGACGGTTGCGCTGCGTGGTGTGTCTGCAGCGGCGAGGCGGAGCAGATCGAGTGGAGCAAGATCCAGACCCCCACCGATGAGGTGGTGGTGCCCTACGACACCCTCGCGCCCCCTCCCGAAGGTACCATCTCGTCTCAGATGCTTCTTCGCGTGGTCGATTCGGATTCGATTCGAATGTTCACTCAGTGTGTGTCTCTGTTTGTGTGCGTGCGTGTGTGCTGCAGATCTCGACGCCATGAAGGCCCTGCTCGACAAGCTCGTGGTGCTCAAGCTCAACGGAGGCCTCGGCACCACCATGGGCTGCACCGGCCCCAAGTGAGCACCCCACCCCGCCCATCCTCTTCGCAGCTCCCGATCACTTGTTTTAGCTTGCATATGCGTGGATCGTGCTACCTTCAGTTAGATTCGCCCCAACACTGTAGTCTAGCAGCAAACTACAGTACATGCCATGCTGATATCTTCGTGTGTGCGATCCTGCTTGTGCTGGCCACGGGTTACTGTTGTTGTTTAGTTTTTCAGCCGGGCCGTGGTTTTAGCACACCATATCTCACATTCAAATGTTTGCTCAATTGCGATGCCATGTCATGTTCGCTTCTTCATGTGTGCAGTCCTGATTATGGTCGTGACGAGTCACTATTGTTTGTTAGTTTTCTGGTTTGGCCGTGGTTTCGGCACACCTTTTTGCGCCTCCAAATGTTTGGTCAAATGCAATGCTGTAACTTTATCATCAGTTACTATGGGCTTGTGTCCTAGTATGGTTACCCATATTTATGTTAATTTTGTTTCCACATGTCACTTTTAGATCCACCTGCTATTATACTTATTCCAGTTCTGTTTGCGAGTTCTTCTCCAAAGTTCATGATCTGGAAGTGCATGGCATGTACTATAATATTCTTGTCGCTTTCAAGGCTCCGTACGTTTATGTTCCTTCTCTTGATTCGCTGTGGCTGTAATACATATAGGTCGACCTGTCTGCTTCCAAGTGCATTAATGAATTAGTCATAGAATTGCTATTGCCTACTCATTTCATTCTTGTTGTGATACCTTTATTACTCTAATGTAGTCCAGTTGTCATGTCATGTTGTGGTTGCCCTTATTTCTGTTAATTGCTATTGCCTACTCCAAATGTTTGGGCAAACCCAATGCTGTAACCTTACCATCAGTTACTATGGGCTTGTGGCATAGTATGGTTGCCTGTATTTCTGTTAAGTTTATTTGCACCTGTCACTTTTAGATCCACCTGCTATTATACTTATTATAGTTCTGTCTGTGGAATCCTCCAAAGTTCATGATCTGGAACGACATGAACAATATTAATACGGGCAACTTTCCATACTTCCTATTAATACTTATTAATATTCTTCATGTCACCTTCTATACTCTGTGCGTTCTGTTCTTTCTCTTGATTAGCTGTGGCTCCAGTACTTATATGTGAACTCGGATGCTTCCAAGCATATCAGTGAAATTAGTCATAAAATTGCTATTAACTGTACTCATTGTTCATTCTTATTGTGACATCTTTATTACTCTGACGTAGTCCAGTTAAACTATCAGTTACAGGGAGAAATGAAATTGTGGACGGGAGCTCCTTTGATTGAAAAAATAGTTTGATTAATCTGGTTCTCTGATCAATGATATCAAACATTAAGGCTATGAATGGTCTTTATCTTTTCATTTATATACTGTTGTCCCAATTTGACATTAGTGCTACTTAAGCTGGTCAAGAGTTACTGTTATTCGTTAGTTTTCTGGATGGGTCATGGTTTTAGCACACCATTTTGCGCCTTCAAATTTTTGGTCAGATGTGATACTATCACTCTATCATCAGTGACAGGCTTGTGGCTATTATACTGGCTGGGCTGTGGTTTTGGCACCCCATTTCTGTCAATCTTATATCCACTTGTCACTTTTAGATCCACCTGCTATTTTACTTATTGTAGTTCTGTTTGGGGAGTCCTCCAAAGTTCATTATCTGAAAGGCATGAAATATATAATATTCTTCTTGTCAGGCTCCATACGTTTATCTCCCTTCTCTTGATTTGCTGTGGCTCTAATACGTATAGGTCAACCCGTCTGCTTCCAAGCATATTAATGGATTAGTCATAAAATTGCTATTGCTTACTGATGTTCATTCTTGTTGTGACATCTTTGTTACTCTGACGTAGTCCAGTTAAACTATCAGTTTCATGGAGAAATAAAATTGTGGGCGGGGGCTCCTTTGATTGAAAAAATAGTTCGATTAATCTGGTTCTTTGATCAATATAGCGAGCATTAAGGCTATGAATGCTCTTTATATTTCCATTCATATATTTTTTTTGCCCCAATTTTACATTAGTGACTGCTGCCAGCTTGCACTGCTGAATATGACCATACACTTATTTTCTATACTCTGTTGGCCAATGAAACTTTGATCATCTGAACATGGTGTTGTGGTTGACTATGTACAAAACATGATATCAGTATATGTTTGATGCAACGTGTCAATAATGGACAGATATGAACTTATTCATTTTGAGTTCTACCACCTTCAGCAGGTAATAACATAGCTCACTGCATGCAGGTCTGTCATTGAAGTTCGCAATGGGTTTACATTTCTTGACCTTATTGTGATTCAGATTGAGGTATTCTTAGTTTCTACTCATATTTTCTGTGCACCGACTTGATGTAGTGTGTAATTGTTTGTGCCTTACAAGTTTCACCTGTATGCAGTCCCTGAACAAGAAGTATGGATGCAGTGTTCCTTTGCTTCTAATGAACTCTTTCAACACTCATGATGACACACAGAAGGTTGATATCCCACTTCCCCTATTTATTTCCTGTTGAAAAGATGACTTTCTAAATTTGGACTAACATACTTGCATAATGACCTGTTTTGTAGATTGTTGAGAAGTACTCCAACTCCAACATTGAAATTCACACTTTCAACCAGGTATGAAATTAGTACTTTCATCTGTTTATTCAACTATATCAGATTTTACCCCACTACTTGCGGTGTCAATTAACAGACACATGTTTCTCTCAGAGCCAATACCCTCGCATTGTTACTGAAGACTTCTTGCCACTTCCAAGCAAAGGGCAGACAGGGAAGGATGGCTGGTTAGTTTTCTCTAACTATTCTTGTCTTATTCTTGGAATACCAATGGATGATCATTTCATTTTATGATATTTCAAATATTAGCTTTGCCTTTATGCTTTATTGATTCAACTTTGTTGGACTTGACTGTCCAAATAATTTTTTGAAGTCTAATATTGTGGTTTTTGAATGTGAAGGTACCCCCCAGGCCACGGTGATGTGTTCCCCTCTTTGAACAACAGTGGAAAACTCGATACCTTGCTGTCACAGGTGAGCACAAATGGCTTAACCTTCTATGTAGGTGAACGGATTAGTTTGACAGGTTGATTGGTTGCATACTACACCTTATCCAGATTTTGCTTTTTTACATGGATTAGTTTGCCCTTGTGATCCACATCTTCATAGCATGTTTTCTTTTGAAGTTTACAAAAAATCTATGTGGTGTATGCTTCTTATCATTTAAATAAATCAAATCAGTTACAACTTGCACGTCATCTGTAGGGACTTGCTTAACTTTGCTTACAGAATCCAAACACCTTCATATTATTGTGCTTACTATTTTGCCAATCTTCTCTCAGGGAAAGGAGTATGTCTTCGTGGCGAACTCAGACAACTTGGGTGCTATAGTTGACATCAGTATCCAAATATGACCAGATTTATTAATTTCCAATCTGATTCTTTTCACCTTTTTAGTGTTACTTTGTGCCATAAATGGAATCCTTAACCATCACAGAGATACTAAACCACCTGATCACTAACCAGAATGAGTACTGCATGGAAGTTACTCCAAAAACATTGGCTGATGTTAAAGGTGGTACCCTCATCTCATACGAAGGAAGAGTCCAGGTACACTAATACTTTCCTCCTGGCTTGCCTATTACTAGCTCTTAATTATCTTTGCTGATAAGCAAACATTGAAAGTAACGGCCGCAGTGTAATTTGCAAGTTGCAACATTAACTTTGAACCTACATGACATGAATGAATCACTCATAATTTATCTCTATTACATGCAGCTCTTGGAGATTGCCCAAGTCCCTGATGAGCATGTAAGTACCCTCTCCCTGAACTGTGTTGTTCTGAGTCGTGAGAGTATTATGAGGCTAAATAGCTGATGAATACTTTTCCTTTGTGTATTTGTTCAGGTGAATGAATTCAAGTCGATTGAGAAGTTCAAGATATTTAACACCAACAACCTGTACGAATCTATAAACCGTGTCTTACTTTGATTAAGAACTCTGTTCCTTCCTAACATCTTCTGGCATCAGGTGGGTGAACTTGAAGGCGATCAAGAGGCTTGTAGATGCTGAAGCACTTAAGATGGAAATCATTCCCAACCCTAAGGTACATCCGTCATCCTTGGCGTGAATCTCAGTTCCATTCTGTTCATTTGCTTTTATCTAAGCAGCTAGTTCTTGCAGGAAGTTGATGGCGTGAAAGTCCTGCAGCTAGAAACCGCAGCTGGAGCAGCGATCAGGGTATAGGCAAACTTATCTCAAAATGTTGTGTTGGGCTGCCCACTTTTTGTTTGTGATGTGCTCTAATGCTTTTCTTTCCTTCTAGTTCTTTGAGAAGGCAATCGGCATCAACGTTCCTCGCTCAAGGTTTCTGCCCGTGAAGGCTACATCTGATTTGTTGCTTGTGCAGGTATATCTGAAATCCCCTTGGTGTTTTCTGGTTTGGTACCATGATGAGACAACAGCTGACCTCATTTTTCTGCCCCACAGTCTGATCTCTATACCTTGGTCGATGGCTACGTCATCCGCAACCCAGCCAGAGTGAAGCCATCGAACCCTTCAATTGAGCTTGGTCCTGAGTTCAAAAAGGTAAGCCATCTTAATCATAAGGATTTTGTCAATTAGTCGATAAAGTAATTGCATTGAAGAAACACGTGAATGGTGAAAGAAGCTGGAATGTGGTTGTGACTTACATTTTTTTCTTGACGAATTATAGGTTGCCAACTTCCTTGCCCGTTTCAAGTCGATCCCCAGCATTGTTGAGCTCGACAGCTTGAAGGTCTCTGGCGATGTCTCGTTTGGCTCTGGAGTCGTGCTCAAGGTGAACTTCGTAGTCATCATTCTCCTTTTGCTGTGATTAGTTACTGTGTACAAATGGACCTAATGCTAATCAAATCTGCTCATCCCATCTGCAGGGCAACGTGACCATCGCAGCCAAGGCTGGAGTCAAGTTGGAGATCCCAGACGGAGCTGTGCTCGAGAACAAGGTAAGCCTTCATTTCACATCCCAACACCTACCCAATCTGAAACTGTGTGGTCTGACTGACACATGGCCTTCTCTGGTGTCTCCAGGACATCAACGGCCCCGAGGATCTTTGAGTGACGCCTGCTGCATCGCCAGTCGCGTTCCCAGAAACCTTCCTGTCCTCCTTCGCTGAGTTAACAGTCATGTAATTTTCGTGTGCATTCTGCTGGGGTGTTGTCCTGGGATAGCCCCTTTACATAATAATTGTAATCCCCTCTGTGCTGTTCATCTACACTTGTTCTTCCTGGGCGTGCCAGGGACGTAAAATTTCTTTTGGTTATATGATGCCCATAGTTTTCACATGCCTAAATTTGTTTCTTCTTTCGCCCTGCTGGGCCGTAAGAGTTGCTTTTTGCTGGAGTGTTTTGTGTCTCCTTTGCCAGTTGTGCCATGCGTAACCCACACTTGGTTGTGGCTATTTTAGATCACAAAGATACGTCTATTGACAATCTTTCTCGCAGAACCCGAACTGTTTGCTTCCATGGGCCCACTGTGAGAAAAAGTCACAGTTGCAACTTTGTCATGAACTGAGAAGGGATCGTGCTTGGCAGTTTTGTCATGTGCTTATTCTTTTTCCCGGTTGCCTTATACCTGATGGTTGGTTGGTATAGGTGTCGATCATGGTGGCAAAAGAACATGAGCATGAATAAGCTTGCACGGCAATCCAACACTTGCATTGTGTGAAGATATCAATCACATGATATAATGATTCAAAAATCAAATTTAAGTGTCCAAAAAAAGGGTGTCACAAGGCATGTGTCTACAGTCCTTAGTAAAAAGTACTCCCGCCATAAAGAAATATAAGAGCGTGAGGGAGTACAAATCCAAATTTGAAACACAGATGATTTTTGAAAGATAGTAGACATATGTCCTGTGAACATTCAGAATTTTCTGAAACATCCAAATTTATTTTTTTGTGGCATGGTACCATGTAATACATCATGGTATCACAGTATATTTCCCACACATTGTAACTGAAGAGTTTACAGGAACAGTCGGAAAAACAATTACAGAATTTAGTTTCAAATTGCCATGACACTCGCGACACAAATCTTTTGGGTAAGCTGACAAAAATCTAAATGCACCATCTATTGAATCACTCGAGACATCCTTTGAAAAGGAAAAGGAAAAAGGGCTGAAAAGGGACTTCGAGAAACACAAGCATTTACAATTCCGGCAGCAGCTTAAACAATCTACCACAAATGTGGCCAGATGCCATGCGATGACCAAAGGCCCCCCCACCCATGACCAGCTCTATCGACGACAAATGTGATTGCTGTGCCGATGTCTTGAGGCTGGTGTTTAACAAGAGCAATCACATTATGTACCACGACGGGTCTCAAACCTTCCCAAGCTCATACGGCTAAATGGTTGTCGATATCAAAGCTACGGAGATCCGAAGGGCCGGCCCCGATCCTGCAAATGTAAGTAGGACAAGTTATGCACTTATGCTACAACATATTTTGAGAAAAAAAGATGGCATGTCATAAGTAATTTAAGTACAATAATTGATTGTGGAACAGCTGCACGCGTGATATCGTGGAAAGCTGGAAGGTGGATTATGCGTAGAGCAAATAGCAAACTAGCAAATGTTCTCGAGTATTAACGGGTCGAGGGCTATTGATCTTGACAACGACCACAGGCCATGATGAAGTGATTTGTACCTCTTGTTTATTGTGCAATAATGGAATTTGATGTTCCCAGCCTTGACATCTTCAATATACTGCAACATTTTGTACAGATGTAAGAAGCTTATGATGTCAAAAGACTGAAAACTATAACTTGCTGGAAGACACAATGCTTGAACTGGAGGAGGGGGTGTACCATTCTCAAAGTGACGATGATTGAAGAAAATGCCAGAGAATCGAATGGTATATCATCCAAAGCAAAAAGTGCACATTCTAGCGACTCGGATCCAGGTGAGAAACAGGGGGTCTTCATTCTTGCTCGGAAAATAATGTAACTCTACTGCATGTCATCACAATACACAAGAAGAATCCACTTAGTAGTGTATTAAGTTAAGCATGAATTGACCCATTAGGCTGCTTTTCACTCACTTGGCCAATTAGCGGAATATCCAACTGAGCAAAAGGTGAGACTATCTCTACATCTGCACAAGCTTCTTCCAACGTTTCCCTTGAGGCTCCTTCTGCTGCAGACTCTCCGACTTCCAAATAACCAGCAGGAAGAGTCCTGTTGATGTAACCTTGATTAGAATGACAGACCAGCCCCAAAATGACAATGTTCTTAGAGAAAACAGAAATGCTTTGCAAATGCAAATCAAAGAATGTGGCAGAAAGCAATTGGAAATAAAACGTACTAGTGCATTAGAGAGAGAAAATAAGAGGTCCGTTAAAAAGGAAAGGAGCAATCCTGAACTGAGGAAAAAATAACAACAAAACAAACACCATTGCTGTAACATATAAAGACATATGCAGTTTCACACCACAAATAGTACAAGCAAATAATTCTGTACATACTTCCTATGGACGTAAAATTCATTTTGGTACTTTTTTTTGACAGGAAATTGATTTTGGTACTACATATACAGGCAAGAAAAACATGTTATGATAATAACTGTAAAACATAGTACACCCATGCAGCTCGCCAGTATGGTACAGACAACACCAGAAAGCATGATCATATCCAACAAAATGGACTCGTCAAAGGTAGCTTACCAAAGGCCATAAGCCGGTTCAATCTTTCTTCTGCAAAGGAGGACCTTGTTATCATGCTCCACAAGGCAACCGACAACCTACAAAAGATGACACAGATTAGTGAAAAACGAATGGGTAAAAGCTAATACACACCTACAAATGTTATAGGGCATATAATTTTGTGTTGTTGAACAGTGACAGATATCAGGTCTGTGCAGTGGAACTCAGAAGCAGTTGGCATTCAAAGCAAGCAAACCACAGTATCTCGGTTCTAAATGCATATGCACATATTGTCTGAACTCTGAAGATGGCGCCTATTCATACTCTGTTCTTCAGTTCATACCATTTTGGGGTTCTCGTAGTGCACTCTCCCACAAGAAGAACAGACAGCCCTCATCTTCTCATCCCCGTCTGGTACGGCCAATTTCGTCGGACTTCCACAAGCTGGGCAGAAAGGGATCCTCGACTTGGGCACCTGCATTAGCGGTGGTTAGGAGTGTATTCGGTCAGCAACATGCGTTTAAACCAGCTAGAGGGCTAGAGCAACGAGTATTATTATCTCATGAAACCAAAGCTGTTATCCACTAATTTCGATCCTGAATCGATGCCGCATCCACCCACACGCACGGTAGATAATTGTGCTAGGGAGACGGAGCACCATGGTTGCAACCAACAGAGGATGCCTCGTGGCTCACAGTTGCTAAGGCAGGCATCCCTTCCCATCCACCAGTTGCTAAGTCAACGCGCTAGATGGTTCCATCCACGGCGATTATTCTACGGCCTCAGAATCTCAGCTCCGACACCAGCGACGCCGGCAGCCGGGCGCCGGTCAGATATCATACGGACGGACGCGTGAGGAGGAGGCAGGCTCACCGCAGGGGCCGGCGGCGGCGAGGGGGCGGAGGTGGAGCTGGCGCCGGCGCCGGAGTGGTTGGAGGCCGACATCCGGAGCGGGCGGAGGCGGGCGGCGGCGGCGGCGGTGCGGGGCAGGGGCGGCGCGCGGCGGGCGAGGATGCGGGCGGCGTGGGGGAGGAGGAGGTGGTGGGATCTGAGGAGGAGCATGG